TTTGTCCTACATTACATGTGACATTACAATTGGGGTCTAATTCACTTCATTTCCTGTGAGCAGGCAATAATAAACCAGGTTAGAAAGATTTGCAGCTCTCTAAATTAGAGAAACAATGCACATCATAATTTATTTTCTAATCAGTTGTGACTTACTAACGGAAACATTATTACAAATTATGCTCCAATATGTACATTTCCTATCGTATCTTACGTCTCATGACCGGCAAATCCCGAACGGTAATGGTGAAGCATTTAGAAATATTGTCCAAAATGAATATTGTATTCGGTGCAGAGCAGAGCTCTGAATTACTTATAAAACGGGCAGCTATTTATATTGTCTATTTATAATATCTATCTGATTTTATATGATCTTAATATTAAATCATGTAATATAGATAAATATGGGCAAAAAAAAAATCTACATGTTTATAATAATATTAATTTGAAATATAAAATCATTTTATTCATTAAAACAGAAATCCTTTTTAAAAGATGTATATTTTGCAGGTTATAGCTGGGTGATTATCTGACGAACGATCTGGCTTAATGTGGTCATTGTAGCTACGAAAGAGCGGCATTTGAGCGCTCTGGATTTCTAGAATAAACCAAAACAGATGTATTTATGAGATAAACATTTTAGAATTTTTTAGGTATTAAATTTGATATATTTGCTGCAGAATTTTATATATTTCGGCTTTACTGCTAAACTCTTCAAAGTGTGTGAATGAATATAAATAGATAAACATGGGTAAACATAAAAAGTCAAACAACGCCGAAGGAGATTATTTTCCCCGTCTGACACAGTAACGGTCAGCGCTTTGTAATCTTGCATAGCATAAAAAGACATAATGCATTTTATTCCTTTCCATTTAGTGGACTGTGGACTGGAGCAATTGTACTGTATATTTATTAAATGGAGAGAACAAACAGGAGAAAAATTAATATAATCACAATAAACTAATAACAAATTAAAAAACATAATTAAAATTGCAAAATTATTATTAGTGGGATTTAGGAAAAGAGAGTAATAGCTGTAAAGGGTTAACCAAAAACAGTATTCGTTCTGATAAAACAAAGTTTGGTGAAAAAACAAAACCATGATTTGTCTAAAAACAAACAAAACACTCAAAACTGTGTTTTAAAGAGTCTTATCAATGAGTGAGGGGGTTAAATGTGAGGAAATAGTTCTTATTCTGTAAGATTTCTATCAATCTATTTTCTTATATATTGCTTTTTATTGTCCTTCTCGGTTGCTTTGCCATGTTTGGAGTTTTTGGACTTTATATTTAAGTTCATGCTGTGTGTACATTAATAGAGCCATATAGTTAGTTATGGAATTCGTGTGAATTTATTTAATATATTGCTGACTCTCTCACCTTAGAATGAATCCCCCCATCCCCATAAGTCAAGGACGTTCTGCCCTGTGTTCACTATATCCAGCTATGCGCTCAGGTAACACAGTATACTTCACCTGTGTGAGGATCCTTGGAATGGGTCCCTGATAACTTCAACTGCGCATACGTTACCGAATCAGCCATCATCTCGCTCTGATTGTAAACTGCAAAGAAGGTGCTACTTTTAACCTGAGGTCTTCACAAAGGAAAATATGACAAATGAAACACTTCCTTGTAAAGTCAGAGGCCGGATACTACCATGTGTCTATAGATTCTGTGCCTTTTGTTAATGTCATATACATTTACTAAAAGCATTGTTTGATTCAATCTTAAGTTTCTGTTTGTTATAATGCAAGCGTGTGAAATTTTATAGCGGTTTGTTTTTCTAACACTTTTACCAGCAATGCAGAAATTTAGTTGCCACAGCCCCAACCACGCTTCTAGTCTCCCTGCCCCTCCCCTGTTAATAAAGGCTGTATACCGTGTGTATTTGGCATGTTTGCTCTCCTAGAACTGTCAAGTATGTGCACCCCAACATACTTAACCCCTTAAGGACACATGACGGAAATATTCCATCATGATACCCTTTTATTCCAGAAGTTGTCTCCTTAAGGGGTTAAACTTACGCAAACACGCACACCCGCACTACTGTACACTAAAACACATGTACATCCACACTACTAAACACTGAAATACACATACACCTACATACCAAACACTAAAATACATGTTCCCTCACACACTACCAAACACTAATACAAATGCACACCCGCACTACTGAACACTAAAACACATGTACATCAACACTACCAAACACTAAAATACACATACATCCACACTACCAAACACTAATACAAACGTACACCCATACTACAAAAACACAAAAACACATGCACTCACACCATGAAACATTAAAGCACACATACACCCACACTGCCAAACACTAAAATACACATACACCGATACTACTAAACACTAATACAAATGTACACCCACACTACTGAACACAAACACATGTACTGTGGCGGAACAGACCTCGCCACGTGTTCTTGGAGGGGGCTGCTTGTCCGCCTCCTACCTTCTGACTATGGCCCTGGGATATATGGCATTTGAAAACACTATTTGTGCCCTGTGACAAAACTGGAGATTGTGCACAAATATGACTATTGCCCATATTTTTTATGAATCCCTTCGTTTGTTGCACTGTTCCCCATGTGTTTCATCTGTTGGTTCGGCTGGACAGACTACCAGACAAACTGTGGAGTTACTGGGTGGCCACCATTTCATGTATCAGAGGCACATGGTGAGAACAATGGATGAAGCACATGGTGAGAACAATGGATGGTGGCCATTTTAACTCACAGATACCGTTTGGACTTTTCTACACGGTGCCATCTCGTCGGTATTTGGTGCCCGAAGACATTGTGCAGTAGTTTTAAACTATATAACAGGGGACACATTATACAGTTATTATTTTTCATATAGCCTGTATATGTTCTGCGTAATCTGCATTAAACGGAATCTTTCAAACTACGGAACGGATCTGGGTGAATGTTTTGGGGTCCCTGTGATATGTTTTATAATTCTGTATATTTTCTGCCTGTGATAATTAAGTTAGTCTATTGTCTTGATATAATTGTATCACAGGCAGAGGGGAGGATTTCTGCTGGGAGTGGTTTACTTTATTGTACATGTTGTAATGTTTCTATTGGTTCTTCTGAAAAACCCCGTGGGCGGTCCTGTATGTGTAAGACCTCCATAAAAGAAGGCCCTTTGGTGATAATTAAACACAGATCTTCTTGACCCTCAACACGTAGTCTTGTCTCGTGATTGGAGGGAACTGATATATCACACTGGGGGCTGCTATGCTCTGCATACTCCTCTGAGCTTTAATCACTTAGCTCTTTTTAGAGCTTGGTCCTGATATGCCCTCCTGGAGGAGAGGTCTTCACCACACGGTCCTGGAGGACAGAAGCTGATCCAGGGTGGAAGGAAGACGGCGAGACTCCAGTTAAGCTACGGCGGTTGTGGAGTCTGTGGTGGTTGTGGTGTCCAGTGCGGTGCTTGTGGTCCTCGGCGCAAGCTAGGAAGCGTCCATCAACGTAAGGTACTCGGTCGGAGTACGGGGTGGTCCATTACATGTACACCCACACTATCAAACACTAATACAAACGTACACCCACACACTACCAAACACTAATACACACGTACACCCATGTGACGAATTGGACCTCGTCATGGGTTCTTGGAGGGGCATACTTGCCAGCCACTTGCCCTGTGACTATGGCCCCTGTGTTAAAACCTATCTGAAAACACTATTTGTGCCTGTTGGAACTTATAACAGGAACAATTTGAACTTTCGAATTGGCACTTTGAACTCCCGAACTCCCAAACTCCCGAAAGCCATTTGAAGTGCCATTCGACCACGTGGTGATGGCCATCTTGTTCGCATGGACCAAAACTGTGAATAGACTTCAGGGGTCCTTAGCTACGACGCTATGGAACTATTTTTGGCTATTTGACCATGCCTGCAGTCAGTAAAAACTATGACTTCCATAAAATGTTTAAACCCCTTAACTGATCTGGGTGATTTTTGGATATACAATGTGAAGGCAGATAAGAACCATTCGGCCCATCTAGTCTGCCCAATAATATATGTTGGTCACCCAGATCAGGGCTATCAGGGGATGTGACTTTATGAGGATTTTATGTGTTTTAAGGCATTTTGTTTTTTTTTGTAAAAATATGTGTTTTTTGTGCGTGGAGATAGTTGAGTTTAGTATAGTGCTTGACTCAATTATCTGAAAAATAATAAAGATAATCTCCAACTAGGGAGATCTGAGGGTGCTGGCAAAAAATATATAAATGGACAACATTTAAAGAAACATGAAATAGACTAGCTAGTATGGAGAGCTATTTGAGGGGGGGGAGGGAAGGGAACATTTGACATATAAGTTCCAAAAATACCATCAAGTGAGAAATTGGATAAAGACCTTTATTTAATCCTTCATTAAAGTAACCAAAAGACCAAAGGACACTATACTGAACCCCCTCAAATAGCTAGTGTAAAGGTAAAGATAATACTGTTGATTTAACTTATAGAATAGTCCAATTGACTGATATTGTCAATGGGACTTGAAAAGTAGAAACAGAACGGTTAGGCTAATAACCTTCAAAAGAGTTGTAATAAGGCAAAGTGCCTCTTAATAAATAGAGGTAGGGATAAAGAGGCAAGGAGAGAGTAGATATAGTTAAGTATAGGAGCTGAGTATTGTAGATGCCCCAGAAAAACTACCCAAAGTGATATGAAGGACCCCTTGTCTCAGAGGTACTAGACTGCTAAGCAGAAAATTGACACCAAGTGCCGTCTATATAAAAGCCTCAAAACTAATCCCTAATCTCCTATAACACCTTCATGGGTGTTCTAAGCTAGCACTCACTGTCTGAGGTATCGATATCCACCTAATGCATCCACACCATAACTAGCTAGGAGCAAACAAAAAAGGTAAGGCTTGGTCTAAATACCCAGTGAAAATAATAAAGTGAAGTGTAGTGAAACATGCTGAACTCCCGCCGGGGGTCGCGTAACTAGTTAGCATGGAGACACGGAAAGGATTGACAGATTGATCGCTCTTTCTTGATTCTGTGGTTGGTGGTGCATGGCCGTTCTTAGTTGGTGGAGCGATTTGTCTGGTTAATTCTGATAACGAACGCACAGCACATATTCTGCCAGCTACCTCGCGGCTAACTTTTAAAGCCGCGGCAAGTGTATTTTCACTCAAATTTTCGCCGGCGGACATTTTTAACAATGCTTTTGCGCCCTTTTCTTCCAAGACACACCCACTCCGTCCCTTGAATCGGAGTTGGTGTCCAGTTTTGTGGAGGACGGTCCCCTTTTTCTCTTGCTCCCATAACTTTGATAATAATCTAGTGAGTACTACTAATTGCCTGCTTTTATCAATAACCTGTGTTCTAAAGTTCCTTGCTGGGTTACTTAACCCTGCTTACCTCTTGTGATTAAAGTTGCCTTTACCAATTTTGCCTGTTATTTTAATTGCAATATGCAGTCCTCTAGTGACTTGCCTGGTCCCTCAGGGACACAAGCTAACCCTCAAACTGCCTTGGGTATTCCCCCTGTAGCTTCTGGGGATGAGGTGGATTTCCCAGCATCAGAGGAAATCCAAGCCATCATGCATACTACTGTGTCCAAGTCTGTATCCAAAGCCTTGGCATCTGCCATGGACATTATGTCCTCCTCTATCTCCAAATCATTTACCCAAGCACTAATACAGGCCCAATTAATGGTCCCTCCGACCACTATGCCAGTCGCGATACCATCCGTTTCTCAACCCCCACGCCCCGCCGCAAAGCCTCGGCTAAAGTGAAGCACTCCTCCAAACTAATGATGGACAGCATAACACCTGTCATAGATGGCACAAATATTGAACCACCGTGCAAAAGAGCCTCTAGCCGGGCAAAAGCGGCTAGACACTGGAAGTGGGCTAAAGCCCAGCCTGATACCACTGAGTCAGAACTCCTACCCTAGACTCAGATCAGTCTAATGATTTGTCCGACTTAGATTTGGAGTACGGAATGATTGAGGAATGTAATCTCTCCACTAAAATACTTATCACTAGCACATCCAGTTCTGACTTAAACAAAGAGGGTAAAATCCTTAACCCGCAGGGTGAACCGTTGTTCGAACCCGATGACTTACGTCACCTCCGCTCTGCAGAATAGTCACCGGTTGAGCATGTGGCACAATACGTCGCATCCCGGGCCTGGAAGCCTTTGGACAAGGCAACACGTAATAAGCTAAGGGCTGAATGCCCATGTCCCACCGTACCAGACGAGGTCCCCAGGTTGACCCCAAAATCATACAATTTTTAAGTAAAACCGGTTGAAAACCTAAGAAAGGTTTAGACTTTTCACTCTATAATTGCCAAGATAAAGTCTTGGATATTTTAGGTCCAGCGACCAACATTTTTGAAGCCATGGAGGAATTCTTGGCTCAAGGCGAAGCCTTAGATCGCCTCACTATTAGAGGTTGGATTCAGAGAGTGATATGCCTCATAGGCAATGCCAATACCGCTCTTGCTACAAAGGGTATCTTTTTGGAGAGTCTTTTGTAAAAAGACCTGGGCTCCTATGTCCAGACATTAATGGCCTTAGACAAGGCACAATCAAATAAAAAACGGGTGTTCCACCCAAAGGTTTTTGTTGGGACCGGCAGAGCAAGGGGCCGTCTGTCCGGCAGAGTCACTAGAGGTTCGCGCACGAACCGAGGCTCCTATATGGGGAGTCCCCCCTTTCCTGACCAGAGGTGCTCTCCGACCTTCTTCCCCCAATGAGGCAGACCTTGGGTGTCGAAAGGTGCATGAGGCACTCCTTCCGGAAGACGTCCTTACGGTAAACTACCTTTCTCAATTTTCACATGTGGCGATAGGGGGCAGACTCACACATTTTTCCCATGTCTGGGCTCTAGGATATAGATAATAGATTTTGTATCCCTGCCTACTCAACTCTCCCCACCCATGGAGATTGTTTTTTCCCCAATAGACATGACCCTCGTGTCCGAGGAAATTCGAGACCTGGCACTCAAAGGTGCTATCCAAGAAATACCGATGTATACCCCGTGTTTTGTGAGCAACCTATTTATTGTCCCCAAGAAAGGTGGCGGATCCCGCCCAGTTATCAATCTCAAACACTTAAACACCTACGTAACCTACCATCACTTCAAGATGGAAGGCATTCATTGCCTATGAGATTTGCTCCAGCCAGCGGACTGGATGGTCAAACTCGACCTAAGAGACGCTTACCTCACGGTAACCATTGCACAGGTACACCAAAATTTCCTGCAATTCACATGGCAAGGAAGTAAGTGGCGGTTCCGCTGCCTTCCCTTCGGTCTCTCTTCCGCACCTTGGTGTTTCACCAAGCTCATTCAGCCCGTCATCGCTCTCCTACGCAGTCGGGGGATTTGTCTAATCATATACTAAGAGGACATCCTGCTGTTATCCCAGTCAGTATCACTACTTCATATTCAACTCAGTTGGACCACAACCTTGCTACAGAATTTAGGCTTCATTATAAATTGGGAAAAATCCATCTTAGTCCACACTCAACAAATAGAGTTCCTAGGACTCTTGGTGGACGCAAACCTTGTATTTACCAACATCCAAAATGAGAAATATCAAGAAAGAGATAAGACGAGTTCTTACCTCTCTGCAAATATCTCTCAAACATCTGGCCCGCGGTATCAGGCTCCTAGCAGCCTCCATACAGGCCATATTTCCAGGCCCCCTTCATTACAGAGCCCTCCAGCGCCTACAGGCGTTATACCTCAGAGGCGGCGCCTAATTCGAGGATACTCTGACTCTAGACACAGAAGCAAAAAAAGAACTCCACTGGTGGCTCCTACACATGGAGGCGTGGAACAGCAGAGTCATCTTCGGCTCGGCCCCAGATGTGGTCATAGAGTCGGATGCAAGCTCTTACGGTTGAGGTGCGCGCTGCAGAGATATCTCCACAGGTGGACGATGGTCAGAAGCGGAATCCACGCTGCATATAAATTGCCTAGAACTCCTAGCAGGGTTCTTTGTGATTCGCAGCCTCTCCCCGACACTGTCCCAGTGTTCAATCTTATTGAAGATGGACAACATATCGGCTGTCCGTTATATCAACCACCTCATTGGCACGAGATCCAAAATTCTAGCGACTTTGGCTCAAGACTTTTGGCAGTTTTGTCTGCAACACAACATCAAGGCGGAATATTTGCCGGGGTTGTTCAACACTACGGTAGATTGGTACTCCCGCCACCTGTGGGATTCCAGTGACTGGCACCTCGATCCCCAAATCTTCCAGCGCATTTGGGATCTTTGGGGTCCTCTGGCAATAGACTTATTTGCCTCTCGCTTGAATACCCAACTTCTGACCTTCTTCAGTTGGAGGCCAGACCCTACGGCTTCGGCTATGAATGCATTCTCCCAAGACTGGTCAACCACCAGGAACTATGCATTCCCTCCATTCGCCCTCATCCCTCGTTGCCTCCTCCATCTACGGCGCCAATTGGGCTGCCTGGTTATAATAACCCCCCTATGGCCGTCGCAGCCTTGGATTCCTCCTCTGCTGGAGATGACAATAGATCACCCATTGCTCCTCCCGGGTGCCCAATCTCTCCTACGGGACCTCGATGGGACTCTCCACCCCCGATCCTTCAGGGTCTCCTCCGCCTCATGGCGTGGTTGATTTCCGTGGACCCTGGTCAATCGAGGGAGTTTCGCAATCGACTCTCCAACTTCTCGAGGGCGCATGGGCACCCAGCACAAGACAGTCTTACAAGTTTGCTTGGCGCTCATGGGATGGTTGGTGCGTGGCACGGAGTGTTAATCCCCTATCAACTCCTGTGACAGCAGTCCTACAATTCTTAACCTCCCTTTATGATAACGAGAAGGCTTACAGGATGGTAAACCTCTACCGCTCAGCTATCTTAGCCGGCCATACCGGCATTGACAGGGCCCCGATAGGACAACATCCATTGGTTTGTCGTCTTCTCTTAGGCATTCGCTTTGCATGGCCACCCCTACCTCACTATTCCTCCCTGTGGGACGTCTCCCTGGTATTAAAATTCCTGACTAGGTGAGACCTTTTGACATCTCACGGAGGACAAAATCGTCCTGTATCCTGCTTTTCCCACGAAGCCGCTCCTTTGCCCAGTAGCGTGTCTTAGGGTGTACGAAGCTCGTACTGCATCCCTTTGGACAGGGTCGGACCCCCAACTCTTCATCTCCTTCCGTAAACCGCATGCTCCGGTATCCTCTCCTACCTTGGCCCGCTGGGTCAAATGGCTCATGTCCTTGGCAGGTATTGATATCTCTATATTTTCTCCTCATTCGGTTCGTGGGGCCATGGCATCTAAAGCCTCCTTTGCGGGTTGTCGTTTGGAAGATATATTGAAGACGGCTGATTGGTCCGCAAAATCTACTTTCGGTAATTTCTATTTCAAACCAATCCAGCCTTTCGCAGAAGCCGTGATATCACAGCTTTGAAATAGCATAATAGGAGCTTCCGGGTCTTTAATAAAATTCAAGGATATTACAATAGTGATGTCGTGAACATAAAATTTTCGGTTCGCGAATGGCGAACGCGAACTTCCACAAATGTTCGCGAACCGGGCGAACCACCATAGACTTCAATAGGCAGGCAAATTTTAAAACCCACAGGGACTCTTTCTGGCCACAATAGTGATGGAAAAGTTGTTTCAAGGGGACTAACACCTGGATTGTGGCATGCCGGAGGGGGATCCATGGCAAAACTCCCATGGAAAATTACATAGTTGATGCAGAGTCTGGCTTTAATCCATAAAGGGCATACATCACCTAACGTTCCTAAATTTTTGGAATAACGTGCTTTAAAACATCAGGTATGATGTTGTATCGATCAGGTAGTGTAAGGGTTACGCCCGCTTCACAGTGACAGACCAAACTCCCCATTTAACGCACCGCAAACAACCGCAAACAGTCCATTTGCACAACCGCAAACTCCCCATTTGCACAAGGCTGGATACCAAGCTAGCCATGTCCCGTTCCTTGTCCTCACTGATGTCATTGAAGGTCTCTTCCTCCATCCAACCACGTACAACACCAAGGGTCCTCAAAAGGTGACAACAAGCCCCCTGGGACGCCTGCTGTGTTTGGTCTTCCACCTCCTCAAATCCACCTTCCTCCTCTGAGTCCTCTTCTTCAGACTCCTCTATCTGCGTTGCCTCTCTCTGCGTTATTATAAGGTGTGTCAAGTAGTACTATTCCTATCAGTTTAATCCCTG